TATTATTATATAAAATAATTATATTAAAATTTGCATCTAATTTTACTGTGACTTTGGTTCATATTACAGCAATAGAGAATATATTTGAATTTAAACCAGCAATCATTAAAATATAAATGCAGGTCTAAAAGCTTGACACATATGTGTATAAGCATTGGCTAAAAAACAAAAATCAATGGAGAGTTCAGGGCTGTCAGGATGTAAGTCTGAAATATAATGCATTCTGCACTGACATAGTGCCCTGTACCTTTATGGGAAGTGTGTCAGCAGTGTATGCCTTCAGGTTACAGTGCACCTGTTACCTTGGTGCTGTGATGTCAGTCATCCTGCTTCTGTAATGTAGTGCCTTTTCTTTAATAGTGAATCACCTGATATGGTCACAACCGAGAAGTCTGCAAGACAAAATAAAACCTGTTATGCCTCTGTAATTGCAGGATAAATGAAAACTATCCACAAAAAGAGAAGGAATTATTTGAAATTGTCTTATCCATCTTGTAACAGCTACTTATCCTCATGCAAGCACACATTGTCACACAGGCAAACCCTATGGACCATTGCAATGCAGTACTTTTCTAAGTCACACTGGGGAATTTACACATGTACACATGCATCTGCCCTGCACAGATGGGTTTAGCGTTGTAAAATGTTAGAACACCATAACATCCCTCACGGTGGAAACAGGTAAAGAACTAAGCTACACTGGGCTCTGCCATGCCAGGATTGGAGTTTGACATCTCTGGTCTATGGGTTACAGGTAGGAAGTTTACATTAATATTTTTTACTGATCTTTTATGTATTTTGAGGCACAATTCAAGTTTGCTAAGGAACCTGCCCGATTAACACATATAAAGACATGCAGAAGTGCATTCCTTGCATAGGAATCAAGCCTGGTTCTTCTGTCACTTGCCTCCAACCTCTCGACTCACCTCCAAACAGAACCCACCTGTGTATGTATTTCCCACAGTACAGTGTAGGATCAGCTACATGCCTAGTGAATCACCAGCTCTGCCTGCTACTTGGGTTTGTCTTGTTTGCATTTATAGTTCTGCCTCCATTACATAATTATTTTCGTTGCCACCATGTTGACCTTGCAGGATGTTCCGCTAAAATAAATAGCATTCCTTGTATCGGCCATGTAAAACCAGGAAATCTCCCGTCACTAGACAAGTGATGTCACAAGATCATGTGATGTGCAGGGCATTGGGGGGAGGGGGGTTGATTCATGCTGCAGCAGTTATTTCAAAGGAATGAACCACGGTGGGGGTAGGGGGGGGCAAAGACACGATTCTGTCCAGAGGTCACAGTCACTNACAAATCTCCATAAGCAGAATTAAGATTCCTGTCACCAGGATTGCTGGCTCTCACACATCTGGTGTGACACTCACGCTTTCTGACTGTCACGCACAGGCATGAAATCTTACAGCAAATTTATATTATTCCATTATAATACTAAAATTAGCTACATCCAAAGCACTGGGGTAGTCTGTAAACCATACAAACTAACTACAAGGTAATAAAACTGTTACATACTTGTAAATGAGTGTGCAGACTTCAGTCTCCAACTGAAGATCTCCTGCCAGCCAGCTGACCAAAGTTGACAATACTGTACCACTGCCCTCTACTTCTGGCTTTCTTGTTATATTATAGTTAAGTTCTATTTTGCAGCCATTAAATGCAAATATCAAAGCAGTACATTTCTGGGGCTTTATATTTGTAGATCTATTGTTATACACGGAAATAAGAAAAAAAGATTCAAACAAGACTTACAAAATCCATCCATCCATCCATGTTCCAAACCTCTTATCCTTCGGGGTCGCGGGGGTCCGGAGCCTATCCCAGAAGCTACGCAGGACGGGGGGGCCAGCCCAACGCAGGATTTACAAAATATTTTTCATATTTAAAAGAATAATATATTCATGCTGATAGTTGAAGAAAGGAGGTAAAATAACTTAAAAGAGGTTAATGATACCAATTAAAAACCACCAAGTTACATACTGTTCCCAGAGGCCTCGGGCCGTTTGCCTAATTGTCATAGCGGCGACGGTACAAGCCGAAGCCCCTGCGCTCCAGCCCAGTAAAGCCCGTGCATGAATATACCTCCGCATATTCTGGAACGGCAGATATTTGCGCTTTACATTATGAAAAGACTCAGAACCGTATTTTAAAATATGTTATCTGGCTGTTGTTTTTAAATAAAATAAATTGACAAATATTAGCCAATCGCAGCGTTCAGTTTTAATGGTTTAATGGGGTACAGCCCCTAGGGAAGGAGGTTAGAAACAGCCCCGCACTTGTCACGTAGTGGAGAGCCAATTCCGTTTCGCTTTGTCAGACATCTATGAAGAATCAAGACCAATGACATTCCGTATTTTTAATTAAATAAAATTTAAATAAGGTAAAACATTACCATAGAATGCAGCTCTTATTAGGATATAAGCGGGCTGTTTGTGTGCACTTCTGGCTTGAATGTGTAGAAAGAGCAGGAAATGTCATTAAAATATGCGTGTCGAGTAAGTGACTTAATGTAAACCCATGTCAACTAAAATTAGCAAAGTAATTAACACTATAGACTCTGTTAGTTTCTTCGGATCAAAAGCACACCAGCAGGAATACTAACGAGTATTGCCGTGTTTCATAACTATACACGTTCTCAAGTATTACGAAAAGCTTGGGAATTTAATTCCATTTTAACTTAAGTCTGATAATAATGACCGAAAGCCGAATCTTATATTGGCGCATTTGGGGCTAGTTTTAGTTTTAGTTACACTGTAAAGAATAGCGCGACGTCAGTGTTTATGAAAGACTGAAGGTTTCCATTACCTCGTGCGACGCAGATTTTTGTTGACTAACAATAATTAAATGTTCAACAGGTCCAGATAACTAGATTTATTTTAAAATAGACCTATTGCTATTATATCACAGTTAATACTGGGCTATTGTAATGTTACGTCTATAGAATAATAAACCTGAAATTAATATATACTTAAAGTTAACCACATATTAAATGTAGTAGATACAATTGCTTAATACCTTATTCTACGAGTCTTCACTCATCCTTCACCGAAATATTACAGCTTTGCTGTCAGTTCAAATCCAAGCACGTTACAAAATGACAAAACTGTACGCCAGACATTAATGTAATATTTTAAAGGAATACTTAATGGTTAAAAGCACTATTTTAGTCAAACATTACCCTCCTTCTGTATTTTGGACGATTCTGGTCTTTCGAAAAGGTGAGTTCAGCAACAGTGGGACATTTAAGCTTTGCCCTATGCTGCTTTTTAAAAAAAATCAACCACCAATGAAAACAAATAGCGCTAAAATCATGCTACAACGGGGCTTGGTCGTCACCAGCTTTTTTCATTGGTGTGACATGTTTATCATGGCTGTGTTCAGAATGCCAAGACACAATGTGTAGCGCAACCGCAAGTGGACCGACAAACCAAATAACTGTCGAAAGATAAGGCTGCTAGAAGCATATAATGAGGTATATCGTTTAAGATGTTGTATTTTAGGCTACTAAAAGAGGGCTGGAGATTATTTTTAAATTATAAAGCACATTTTGAAAAAAATAAATATATAAAATATATATATTATATATATATATATATATATATATATGTGTGTGTGTGTGTGTGTGTGTGTGTGTGTGTTAGTGTTTTGCTTGCTTTTGCCTCTCTATGTTTTATCCCATAACTATTAAATATTACATGGATTGTTTAGATGTCCACATCTAACGAGAAATGCAGCTAATAGAAAAAATGTTAGTGTGAGCAAATGGCTTTCGTGAGATTTTTCTAAATCATTTACCAAAAAGTGTCGTACTTTTGCATAGTTCACCCTAGTTCTTTTATATAACCTTTAAGATAGCAAAAACATGCATCAGGGAAAGTAAAATGAGAACAATATGAAATTACAATTACAATATAATCATTGGTTTATAAACCGAAATATGACTTTTTTTTCTTTTAGATATTTCTGTAATGTGTTGTATTTAGAATTCAGCTAAAAGTCTACACCACAAAAACAAAACCATAAACAGCACAGAGCTACATCTAAAGCTCCTGAAGGTGGAAGTAACTAAAACACGTGCAATCTTTAGATTAAACGGAAAATTTGACGATGATATCGTTCTTAAAAACGCGTATGATATACACAAAGAAGAGCCTAAATGGCCAGACAGTTGATTGTGATACTCTGAGGTATATTGTAAAATATTTTAAAATAGAAATTGCAATCCACTAGGGAAGTATTCTACAAGTTTCTAGTGTTACATTAGAAGATGCTGTCTAATTAAAAAATGCTGTAATATCCAGTGAACACTATTAATTGGCAAATTTTCCTTTTAAATTGGGGGCTGTACGCTGACAGGCTTACCCTCAGAGGCTTCAGAGCTTAAGTTGGTCATTAAATTAAACCTAGCCAACTGCAGTTATTTGAGAATATCTGAGAAAAAAAATCGGATTGGGCCAGGTTTTGCACAGACACGGTGATGCAGTAGCGGCTGTGCCGAGAGGGCTGGGCTTCTCCCCAGCTGAGACCCATTTCCAACACGAACGCCACTCATCGTCTTGGGCTGCTGCTATAATTGGTTACTAATTTTAAAACGCTAGGAGTATGAGCCGGGAATTTACTGGGTTTAGTGTGTAACACCGATTTTTCAGCTTTTCATTCCCAAATTTAACTCTAAAACGGACACGCTTGATGTGGCCAAAATGAAATAACAGCGTCGTCTTTTCACCTTTTCTCACCCTCACAGTGCACCTTTTCACCAGTTCACCTTTCGTTTTTTTTACGTTTGGTACCTCGGATACACCACACATTTGGCCTGAAATTTCACTAATTTGCACAAAGATCCTCCCCCCAACTTGAAACACCTAACGGTCTACGGACTAGAACGTAGTAAAACTATTTTCCTTTTTTTTCCTTGCTCAAAGAAATTACTTCAGCTCTACAATGAGTCTAAAATCCGATTCTGAGCCGAACAACAATGTGACGATGGAAGAGGAGGTAAGGGACCTGTCTGAAGCGCTTCTCGGTCTCCAGAAGTTTGCTTCGTGCCGTGGAAACTTTTTTTGTCTGATTTTGTTTACAACACCGACTTAACTTTTCACTGTGAAAGTTTGCAACGTATATAGTAAAATGCGGGGGAAATAATGTATTTTAAGTATTTGCTGATCTACATTTAGAGGTTCAACACCACATTGGTGTAATTAAGTTAGAGAGGGGGTTGGAGAAGACCCTTTATTAATCTGGAGGGGATTTATTAGTGGGCAGTATTTTAGTATTAATATAGTCTTAAAGCACGGAGCGTCGCTTCGGAAAGAAAACAACTGATCCATACTGGGAATTTATAGAAA